AGTATCATTGGAGGAGAATGTGTGATGCATCTCACAAACTGCTCAGTGATACCATTTAGCATCACTTCATACTTTCCTTCTCTGATGACAATCTTAAAAACATTTTAAGCCAATATGGGGGAATATGGCCATCTCAATTTGGGGTAATACGGACACATCCTTCACTTCATACTAGCACTACCTATTGGTATTGTCAGCTTCCTTTCATGTGGGATCTCAGGCTGCAAAAGATTATCCAATGCACTTTCTATGGATATATGGATAGAAGTACTGGAAATTAACACCTTACATACATGCTTATGGCAGAGAAATAGGGTTGCATAATGGTCTCTACAGGCAACAGGCTATGTAAATAAATGAAGACATAAACTGAATATGAAAATAAATAAAATAAAAAAATAAAATCCCTAAGGTTTTGATTGCGAGATTTGATGATATTGCAATGTTGTTTAAAATAGTGTACAATATGTTGTTATTTCACTGAACAATTAACGGTTCGTACCTTTTACCGTCCTGGAGGACAAGTCGGTTCTACAGTAGGTACCACTCTGCTAGGGACTGCGACTGAAGTCCAACAGGTCGCTCTGAGAGGCTGAGATCCTGAGACAGAGTCTCCTTGACCTTGGTCAGGGAACATGAGGTCAAGAAGAACTTGGAGAGGAGGCAGTAAGAGCGATTGAAGAGTGGAATGAAGAGACTCTGATGGCACATGGCAGCCATTCGGTAGTATGGACCCCGGAAGGGATCTGAGATTGCTGGACACAGCATGTTGTTCAAGTTCACCTGTGACATCTGTTTGCATTCATCCAACAGACCAGATCTTCATGAGTGTAAGTGTGACTCCAAATAATTTGCCCATAAGCATATCTATTGAATTGGTTAGATGTGTTTTGCTCTTTCCTTGACAAGGGCATTAAATCCCTTCATGAAGACAGAAGCAATATAAAAACTCTTTCCTCCATGCATTGAGTGGCTGATGAGAAAAAGAGGGGAAGAGAATATTTTGTGATTTTAAATTAAAACTTTTCAGCTTCTAATGCCAATAATTTTCTTAACCCTTCGAATCCCAAGATGCCAATATATCGACACCCTCTATTGGAATACAATTCTGCCTGGGAGTGAAAGGGTTAATCAAGGTGTTCTTTTTCTTCTCCACATCAATACATGAACCCTCCAAATTTCCAGTCCACATTCACTTGACATATGAATAGATGCAAAAACTTTGCTTGATTATTATTTTTTGGCTGTTGGACAAACATTTTTATTTAGTGGAAACACTAGGAGTTGAAATCCATGTTTTATGACAACATTATTAGTTTTCTGCATTGCAAGCTACAATAAACAATAGCCCATAAATCAATTTTAAAATTTCAACTGACCATTAGAAGTAGAAAAGCTAATGATTCTGTCCAAACATCAAAACAATATTGGTATGGCATTGAAAAAGAGAGAAAAATATCAAAGAGAATCAGAGGGACATACCAATCCAACAGGTTGAAGAAGAAGCCAGTGATAGAAGGTGCAGATGCCAAGCCCAAATACAGGCCAGCTCATATCCAATGGATGGGCTACTGTGTACACTCCTGCATCAATTCCATAACCCAAGATAAATGTCACACATTGATATTTTTAACATTCTTGATAATCCTCATTCAGTAGTAGGTGTTTTTGCACTAAAGAAAGGCATCAATTCTCACTAGAGGGATGCATGACTCATACTACACACATAATTTAGGACTCTTTTTATGAATTGTGATACATCCAGGGATTAGGAAAAGACTTCACATGAGCATAACATGAGCTCTTGAGTCACTTGCTCATGAGCGCATATGTTTTTTTAACATGAGCTCCCGAGGGAAGACTGGAAGAAAGGAACATTATTCTAACCAGGTCAACTAAGCTTCATTCCAACTAATGATTTCTATGTCACACCTGAATAAGAATTTAATTTTGGTTGACTAGCATAATTGCAAACAGACAATGCACTATGTCAAATTTGCCAACTTCCAAGTTCTTGAGTACAATGTTGTTAAAATTGGAATAAACCACTGGTGACCTTGTTTTGCTAGATTTGTTAAGGAAATATAGTCAAACTCAGTTATAATATCATCTGAGGGGATAAGGGAAATATTGTAATTATAACCAAGGTTCATTATAAACGAGGTTGCCTTTATTGACATTCTGCATCCGTGTTTTAAAAAGAGATGCTATGTACAACTCTTGTGCACATAGGTCATCCTGCACTGGCTTCACTTTGGGCATTAGCTCATTCATTGTGATGTTTGCACTTCATTGGACCTTAAACCTCTTTAGCAAGGCTTTGTTAATGTCATCTTGAGCAGATATACAAAGTTTCTTGCTTGGTGGCATGTTCTCCTAAGTACAGATGAAGCTATCACAATTTTTCCAAATTGTGGAAAGAGCTGAACTAGAAGTCCATGTTCATGAGAGACATCAGCTTTAACTGGCCCACTTTCTATTAAATGAATTATGCATACTTTCTTGTTAATTGTGAAGCCTTGCCTCTTATGGCTTGCCATAACTTTATCTTATGCTCACTCTTACAATGATGGAAATTATAGTTAAGAATGACGAATTAGAAACATCAACTTTGTCTATTTCATCAGTGGGGCCTGGAATGGACTTCATTATAACCAAGGTAAAATTTCACATACCTTATGGGCTCTACAGCTGGACCTGGTGCCATTTGTCATTATAACAGAGGCTTCGTTATAACAGAGTTCTACTGTAAAAATTTCTGACTTCTGAGCCTTTTCATTCAAGTTTGAAAGTGTTTACAAAAGGACCTACTCTTGGGCCTATTGCTAGCATGGGTGTGTCAATTCGAAATGGCTGTTACTTCTATGGTACAAGGTTTTAAAAGGAATATTGAGGTATTAGTGATGCAACTCTAAAATTGAAACTGGTTTCCATTAAATGTTACACAGGTGAGTCTCAAATAATTTATAAATCCAGCAAAAACTTTACATAAGTAATTGTCCAATTCCACTTTTCTTCTCCTGCTGAACATAGCCTTCAGTAAATGTTTCTACTCATTTCTCTCTAAAAAAAAAATGGCTGCTGGATGGTGCACACAGACTAGTTCAGGCTTTGACTTACCTCCAAGACGCAGAAGGTAGTAGGGAACAACCAACATGAGAAAGTGCTGAATCCAGTAGATCTCAGTCTCAAATGGTAGCTGGAACAAAGAAAGCATGCCAAGAAGCTCATCAAATGATCAAATTAAAAATCTCAATATTTAATATATGAGGTCTCATATGTTAAGTCTATTGCAGCATCTAGAAATGTCAAGGAGAGAACACTTCTCCATTATAAGAATCAACTTCCTTTTCAATAAAATAATCTGCACCATATACATTTCCACTTGGTATCATGTAAAATGTAATCCCGAGTCATATTTGTGCCCTACATCCAATTGTAATTTTAATTGTTAATTTTCATAACTACCTGGTGCCCATCATATGCTGAACTAAATTTCTTTCAAAATAAAAAAAAACATGAATCATTGGCAACTTTGGTAAAATTGTATTAGCAGACAACAAATATACAGGGTAGGTAAAAAAAACTGGACATTTTTCAACTGTACACTATATTGCACTCACATATGTGAAAGGTAGACAGATCATTTTAAAGCTTCTTCATTCCTCTTTCAAATGTCACAAACTGCATTAAAAGATGTGCAGTGTGTGGAGTATAGTGTATTGTTGAAAATGCTGTATTTTTTTGGCCCACCCAGTACATAATTCCTCCTCTTTAGAAATGGAAAAAATGTAAAAACTTGGGTTGCATCAATCCTCAGACCGGGTACCTAGCACCAACCAATTAGGGTATTTTCCACAAAATTAGCAGAACCAATTTCTGGACCCTCCAATATTCTGGATTTTTACACACAAAATGAATAGCATCTTTTCCCTCTACTTCAATTTCCTGGCAATTTGTCCCAGACCATGGAAATCCTATGAGTAGACATTGGCAGATGAAATCTGCATTTATTCCAGGGGACAGAACTCAAAACTATGCATTGTTTTTGGATCAAATTCATACGAGGGGGGGGGGCTCCTCCCCATAGGAGCATTTCCATCAATTGCAGGCATTTACTAATGGTTTCATGGATCATCTGAAAGTTGTTTTTTCTTCATCCTTCAATATAGGATGAATTCAATCTAAAAACAGTGTAAAAGCACATGACTAGAAGGGAGATGCTATGAGGAGTGCACTGTCCTATTAAATGGCACCAGATGAAGGAACACATATGAGAAGCAGTTGCATTTCCATTGAATCCTTTTAGAAGCCCTTGATATTAATTCTCTCTTAAAACAAATGCTTAAACTTTTAATAGGCCTAATCCTTATCAATGTGCAGGCCTAATGTCAACATTAAGTCTGGGGCTCTAGATGCAGCCTTTGTGTGCAGTAGGATATGCTGACAATGAATGTCAGTTGGGCTTGGCCTGTGATACAAGGTCCATTTGGCCAATACTAACTTAGGCCTTTGTGTTCTTGTTCAATTCTTAGGTTAACGTCATTACACCTTACGATTTCATCATGACAAAGTGAGCGGTAAAACCCCTTTGTGTGCTGAAGTTATTATTTTTTCAGTAACATTACCAAAACATGAAGTACCATTACCTCTTAACTTGCACCTAATTCAAGTTAATGTCATCTTGATGCCACAAGCTCTGCAAAAGTTACCTCTCCTTTATACACAAGCACAAATAATAGATTTGGTATCAGTCATCTTTCAAGAGCAGATAAGAACTGAAGCACTCGAACAATTATAATGCCATCTTGATGTCACTGTTTGCACAGTTGGCAAATGGTATGCATTTTTCTTATCTTAACAATGCCAAATTTCATCAATATACTAAAGAAGATTTTTTTTTAAAGTACTAAGTAGGCTTTTAAAAAGTACTAACAAGCACACACTAGGAATGAACTTCAAAGTCAAGATAAAATAGAACCTAAGGGACAAAAATTACTCATAAAAACCCTACCAAGTTATAAATGGAAATAATAAGCTGAAATTTCAAGATCCTATACCTCACTGAAGACCATATGAAGACTATAAAAAAAAATTAAAGTTCATAGATTCAAATGGAGATCTTAAACATTAACACACTTTCACTTCTCCATAGATCAAATCTGCACACTAATTTAATCAAAGTAAGAAAGAGAATCCATAAAATGTATTGATTTGTGTTGACAAGATGAAGCATGAGAAGAAAAATACAAAGGGAATATATGAGGGCTCTGACAAACCAGACGACTGTTGGTAACAGGAAAGAGGATTGCAAGGCTGGCTCCAGGGAGGAGATTCATGTGAATGCGAAACATGGCAGTCACAAATCGACTTGGTGGTGCTGCCAGTAAGTAAATCTGCAAAACCACCAAACATTTAGGCTTAATGCTAAGAACGATCATCATAATGCGAAAAACATTTTATTTCTAACAGCAAGGAGCAAAGAAATTAACACTCTTGCTGCCGAAGGTGACTCAAGTCGCCTAGACTAACATGTAAATTGAAGTAATTTGGCAGTAAGAGTGTTAAGCATCATTTTACACCTATTAATAAAAAAATCTTATTTTGATTAATATATCCAGCTGAAATGTCCATCCTTCAAGTTTGGGGCTTTCGTGATAAACAAAATGAGTCCTGGAAAGACTTCACCAGTCCATTTGGGATTCTCCATGGAATGCTTATGTTTACTAAGCAAGGGATGCTTCCTAACATGTGCTCAATAATTTTTGCTCACTGGAACCTTCCAAGTGCAAAAAAAAAATAAGGCTATTCCATTTTCAGGTAATAGAGATGCCTTGCACACTCCAAGTGAGAACTCCATAGATATCAAGACTGGTATCATGAAGGTAACATTTAGAGTTGAGTATCCTCTGCCGTGCATCTCTAATGATGAGCTACTGATTATCCATTGAACATAAATCTCACAATCTGTAGGTGATCAAGAACTAAAGTTGGATGTCTCTGTGATTAAATGCCCACATTCTGCTGTATCCAAAGATTATGGGCACATAAGTCTTAGTTGTAGAATACATTTCTTGGCCATGTGAATTTGTACTTTCAGGGCCATAGAAAGTTGACTTCCTGGGAACCCCTTGTAAACACTGGTAAAGATGAGGAAAATTTGAGAAATCCCACAGAAATGCAAAGATAGGAGCAGCCTCCTTCCTACATCCTCAGGATTCAGGTATGTTTCGTACGACAAAGATCAATTAAAGTCAAATTAAGGTCAAAATTTGAGTTACTAAAGGGGTTGGTAGTTTACTAAGGTTTATTATTAGTAGTTCCAAAATCACGTCTCACAGAAAGTGACTCTCTCCATCACTTTTCTATAGATACATTCTGCCACAGCCTCCACATCTGCCTCCTCTTCCTCCCCTCCCCACCCCTCAATGACTCCAACTGAGTTCAAGTTGAGTTTATTATGGCAACTGCAACCTAATAAAGCCTATGGTTGGTAAGGATGTAAGTTTTCAAGCTTTCATAATCTGAAGAATTAATAGAGGTTTCACTGTGAATTGGAACAAATTACAATGTTTCCAGACTTCCAGATTATGCTGTCCTTTTCTGTAGGTTCTAGTATTCTGTTGGTTCTAGTATTCTGTTATGAAGGAGCAGTTCCCTTGCTCAGGAATGGAAAATGCTACATGAGCATAACTCACTGGTATACCCATTCACAAAAACTGGCAACTGTGATAACTATATATTTCTTGAGCTGATGTAAGTTTTCAAGCCTTCATAATCGGAAGAATTAATAGACGTTTTACTGTGAATTGGAACAAATTACAATGTTTCCAGACTTCCAGATTATGCTGTCCTTTTCTGTTGGTTCTAGTATTCTGTTATGAAGGAGCAGTTCCCTTGCTCAGGAATGGAAAATGCTACATGAGCATAACTCACTGGTATACCCATTCACAAAAACTGGCAACTGTGATAACTAGATATTTCTTGAGCAAAGTTGAAACACCATGGAAGTGAGCAGGTGGGTAAATGTCAATTCAAGATCACTAAGGACAGTACAGCTTTCTAAAGGCTTAGTAGTGACTAATTTTTATAAGCTCTTGGATATCTATTGTGACAAGGATTTATTCTAGCAGAATTGAAGCATGACCCTCAGAAACTGCCTTTTGGTTTCACAAGACATATCCATACTTATTTTGAACCATGGGACAACTCATAAAAGACTTTAGAATTACTCTTTTCCTCCCTTTACAGAACTTTGGGGAAGCTATATGACCTATTCCATTCCTAAGTGGAGTTTCTTTGGTCAATATAAAAAAAAGTATTCAATATCTGTGAAAGGTCAAGGAAAGTGATAGGCCATATACATAAACCAGAGACAAAACTAGACCTGGATAGCAGTGGTGACATGGCAGGGATTGAGGAGATAGATGAGAGTGCGACTAGAGAACTTGAAGCCAATCTCTATGCCCCAAACAAGGGACATGATGACAAGGAGAGCCCTTTTCCCACCACGATCCTTACGAATGTATGCATACTTGTGAGGCAGGCGAATGTGATTGTATGACCACCACATGTATCCAATCCCAACCAAAGTGAAAATCACAGTCTCCATCAGCCTTTGTGTGAGGGACAGATAAGCAGCGCATTCTGGTCCACCATTCCCAGGTACCTTTGGATCCACTCCTGTCATGAATGATTGAAATTTCATCCTTGAATCAATCCATACATAAGCCTACAATTATGCCAGGCTAAAGCATAGGCTCACGAACCTGAATAGGCCCAGTCAAGAAAAGTTTCGTGCCGCTTGCCAACAGCATGGGAAACGAGAACCTCTTCTTTGATAGACGTCATGTCGACTTGTATCGCAATTCTCTACGTATGAGGCCTTACGTGCTTCGCCGAAAGTCTTAAAATGAGACTAGCACATCATAGTAACACAGGAAGTCAACTAAATTCGTCCTAAAGTTCTAAAGTCTGGGTGCACTATGACAGGGACTAAATGGATTGTTTATAGAAAAATCACAATACGTCAGAGACCCAACAAGGATCTCGTCATGACGACAACCTGCGCCACTATCCCTTCTTCACTCTCACGAGGAGTAGCAGGAGCACCAGTGTTGCCCAACCCAACATGTAAAATTCGCGCATAATTCTTGTATTAGTTCTATATGAGAGCCATTAGATGCTAAAATATTGAGCTCTTTTAAAATTATATATTATAATTATATAAAAATGAGAAAAAAGGCAATATAAAGTCTAAAAGTATAAAAGCAAAACGGTCGAAAAGGTATACACTGCGTGCGACAACATGAGCTGACTTAACTGACATCTCGCGGGTAACACGAGAAGTTATTCGTTTTGAGGGAGCCTTTGAGATGGTGGAAGGTTAACATTCCCAGATCGTTTTCGATTTGTGAAATCTAGCGCAGCAATCCCACATTCGCTAATTCGCAGCTAAGAATTTCGCAGTATCGTGTAAATTTATGTTATCTCTAAGCGATAGGCAACGTAACTACGAAAGGGTCTTTTTTTTATAGTTTTGAATCTCTTCCATGATGGCCAATCTGGACTAGAATTCACCCAGAATAAGACTACATCAAGTTGAGTACGTCAAACGCAGTCTTGAGATCCTAATCGTCAATAATTTCTTATTCCACTAAAAACCCGTCGGACTCAATTGAAAGAAACCGAGTAGGCCAGTAACTTGCGAGGGTAGCAGAATGGATATGATCACGGAGTTCCTGCTGACACACATTCTGAGGTGGAAGCCTTGCATGAGAAATTCCCTTGGCAGAATCTCCATGAAAGGGCAGCGATCTGGATAAGAAGGTAGGCCTATGCATTCTAAGTCGAGGGAAAGACATGGATTCCATTCCCAGGACGTGAATCGTGACTCTGTGAATACGGGAGACCCCTTCGCCCTTTCATAATCACGATCACGATCTGCCTTTTTTTGCCATGGCATCCCTTGTCACCCCTTTCTACATCACGTTCCAGCTCCGAATCGACAATGGAAGAGAGCCCGATCTAGAACCAACCTCGTTGTACCTCTGCATGAATTCCTTTTAACCAGATGGGTGCAGATTGGATGATGAGTGGAAGTGGTAAAAGATGACGATCGTTCCGGTTCACCAGACCGGCGGCGGGAGACAAGAGACAAGTTCTTAGTCTAACAGGGTGTTGCGGATCACGGCGCATGCATCTGTCCCACTTTTCCCCTCCTACGGTCTTAAAACCCATCCGGAGTCCAGACACGCACTTACACACACTCACGCTTGGATCCGGTCTTTATTCACACAGCGAGGAAGATGAGCAAAATAAAAGCGAGAAAAGGGAGAAGGAAATAAGCGATTTTCACAGTAGTACACTTGGTGTATACAATCATCGGATTCCAAAAAAAAAGAAGTATCACAACTAGAAGCAGAAAAAAAAATTCCTTGAAATCTTGGGGGGGGGGGGGGGAAAGAAAGAAACACCATACCGGCTACGTTTACAATATTCTCCCCAGCCGATTCAACAACAGTTCACCCTAACACTTGACAAACCCTCGATATAACAAGAAAAACATACAAAGGGAACTGGAGAACTTATCACAGCGATTCCAAGAAAGAGATAGACACAAGATCCTCCTGATCCTCATAAATAATTCCATAATTAACTACTGGATTGCATCCTGGACAGGAATAAATTACAAATGGATAACAAGAACATAATTTAACTCACTCACAGAGACTGGTAACTTTTGAAGATTGAAAATACTTTTCAAAATAGCGGAAAAGAATAAAGATGAAATGGAAACAAGGTCTTTTTTGCGTACAATGCTGCCTGGAATGAGATGAGAAAAAAATATAAAAGAACATCCCAGGGGAGGAATGAGAAATATGCACTTGAGGGCTGTCTGCGCTGTAGCACCAGAGACAGAAAAAAAAAAGATAAGGGTAGAGAGAAGATCAATTGGGTTGTTGAACTTTGACGAATTCAGGGCTGGAATTGGGGCTGTGAATGAAGGTGTGGGCCGACCCCTTGTTAGTGAAGGCGCGGATCCTGAGGTACATGAACACAGCGACCAGCGCTGCCACGGTGAGCACTAGCAGCAACATGATGAGCCCTGCAGCAAAGCCTGCCACACTTAGGCAAATACTGCTTCCATCCAGGTCTCCACCACTCACACTGCTCACCACTACCGTCTCATTTCCTCCATCTCCAGGTCCATGCAGATTGAATGCGACGTCTCCCGGAGCGACGACCTGGATCACTTTGGACGTTTCGATGTCCGTCATCTCCGTCGCATCTCGCTTGTAGATTCGAGGGTGTTCCACGTGTCGTCGACGACGTCGTCTGTTACCGCCCTCTTCTCCTTCCTCTTTCCTCTCGTCAGAGTGGAGGCCGCTCGGAACAGAGATGATAGGGATTTCGCCTTGAGCAGAACGTGGTCTACCTCCGACGGAGGCTCCGTCTGCTATTCCCTCCCTTTTCACGGAGGAGTAACCCTGTTGAGCCCTGGGTGGGACTTGGATCCTCTGAGGACTTATGGGGAAGGCCAAGGGGACCGGTACTGGAACGGGGCGACGAAGTCGTGGCTCTTGCCCGCCTTCTTTGATCAGGTTCTGGTTTTCCTTCTTCCCTGGTGGAGACACAATGGTCTCCTTCTTCTCACTCGCTGAATATTCGTCTCCTCCCGGAATCCTTGGATCTGGGTAAGCTGGTCCGAAGAAGTCATCGCCTCCCAAGGGTAATGGAGGACCTCCCAGATGTAAGGGACCTGGACCCCCAGGTCCTGGACCTCCAGGTCCAGGTCTTCCAAGAGGCCCTGGTCCTAGTCCTGGTCCGGGTCCATATCCTCCTCCTCCTCCACATTTAGCCTCAGGGCATTGGTATCTACAAACCTATTCAACGGAATATAATACATTGAAATGTGCCTAGAAGTAACAATGGGATACTATTGGAATGTCATACGTAAAGTTAGGTGTTTAGATAATAAGGGGCGAAGCAAAACAAAAGTTAAGGACTTTAAGGACGAAAATTCTGTCTTCGACTAGCAGGCACTGAAGCATACCATGGGAATTGCATTGAACATTTTTTTTTAACCTATGGAAATGGATTTATAATTACCTGGATGACACACTGGAAGTGAACGTTCATGGAATCCGGGAACTTGAAGGCCTGAAAGTAAGCGTAGGAGACGACGGAGGCAGACGCGCCAAAGTTTTTGATTTTCTGGAAATTACTCATGATTTTCGGTCGGGTGACACATCCGTACTGGTCCACCAATTGAATGGGAGCCCGCTTTCCATCGTGGGCCACGCAGTTTCGGACCAACATGTCGAATTTGTTCTCATCGTCCTTGATCGCAAGAACCATGGTCATAGTCTGACCGATCTTCACAATCCCTGACACCTCTGACGCCCATGGTCCTTTCCCCACCTGCATCCAACAGGACCCATTATTACCTCAAAATAAAACTACGAGTCAATACAATATCATAATTCCGGGTGAATGAGCTTAATCTTTTAATTACAAACGTATTACACACGGGGTAAGTAATATTAAATATGATACGAATCTGCATAGATGCTGTAGAATGATCAGGGTAGAGAGGATATAATCAAATTATCACATTTCCGCCTGATGAACAAAACCAACGGAGAGGCATAAATAAAGGAATTCTTGCAGATTATTCTAAACAAGAGAGACAGTGAGAGCAGGTGATACCTGGATCTGCATCCAGCATTGCAAGTTGTCGCCGAGGAAGTTAGCGGTGATAGCATCCAACATGTCGACGGAGAAAGGGCGAAAGGTAACGGCCTTCTCGTAGTAATCATACCAGGTACATCGGAGTCTTCGAGCCTGGTCCCACACTTCCTGAACCAGAGGGTCGTATTGGATGATAATCGTGTTTTCAACGAAGGATCCAGCTGGGCTGGGTCCTCCGTATCCTCCTCCTCCTCCTCCATAATTAGCACTACTGCTCATTCCGCAGCTGCTTAGGAAGATGTCGAATTGGGCCTGCAGGGCTCCTGACCCTGGTTCCAGGTGGACGCAGTTCGGATCCGAATAATGACCTGGGGACAAATTCTAATTAATAAATTGTACGGGCCGTTGGGGTGATTCACACAAAAACACAGGTGACAGAGCCAGGCAGTGCCGGGTACATCGGTCAGGGAAACCGAGAGAGTATAATAAAATCCAATTCAATGTGTACATAATTCTACCAATTAAGAGTAATTGCTCTCTTCCTTGGAAAATCGTTGCGCTCGTGATAGCCAAGAGGCTATCAATATTATTGGTTTCGATTGGAATATTATGTATTTGTAATATTCATGATGCCTAAAGAGAAGCATATTCTTATCTCTCTGGTTCAGGTTGTTTAATTTTCAGCAAACATAATTAAGGTAGATCAGTTCGTGTATGACAAAACACAAGAAGTCATGGGCTCAACCTTTACCTTTGGAGAAGATCATGCCGTAGAAAGGTCGATCAAACTCGATGTAGACCTTCATGTGAGTCTTCTCGCATTGGACGTTGATGGCCTTGATCTGGGGCATGTCGGGTCGGGTAAGAGGCCATGGGTCGCCCGGACCCCCACCGGGACCACCTCCCAGGGGGGGACCAGGTGGGAAATGGGGGCCAGGCCTTGGAGGCCCTGGTGGGGGGCCGAAGCCTCCCAGGTGTATTCCGGGTACTGCCCGATGTTCCGCAGGTAGAGACGCCGAATCACCCTCCGCTAATTTGTCACCCAGGCACACCTGTTAACATCCATTTTCAGCATTAATATTAATGCCAATAGACGCATCTGGTCCGGTCTGCTTCTCCTTTTTACTTCTTTCAGTCTGCGTGCATGAAATTTTTTCCTCACAAAATTGCTATAACAGGATTGGAGCGGGGAGGCGGAAGCAAAGCAGAAAGGGGTTGGAAGGTATTGAGATTACGAGAGCATTGGAGGGAAGTTTTCATCACAGAAGGGAAAAAGCCACTTTTCGAACATTGTCGCAGGTAATAAAAAAGAAATAGGAACGGACAGTGTAGAATGGAGTACAAATGCGGGTCAGTACACCGCTATCGTCTGTGTATCCTCGTGACTATTTCGGGAACAATACCCCTGTGAAAACCATAAAGAGCCTGGGGGGAGTGGCAAGGATTGCGGGAATTGTATGGGATTGATTTTTAACTGGGGTGGGAGGGCGGGATGGCTGGTACATACAGTACGGGCTGGGCAAGGATAGCGGACTGGATGGATGGATCATGGTCATCCACGTGGGACACCCTCCGGCCATATTCTCTCTCTTTCTCGCCAATTAAGTGACGTTATCTGGGATGGATTTAACCCTCCGCATTTCCGTCTTCTTTCTTTCCCACATAATTGCGCGCAGGTGACCTTGCCTCCAGAGCTTCCTTTCCTCTTTTTCCCATCTTTCCATTCCACATGGCGTCTCATGAAATTCCATTTATTTTCTGTTTCAGGGCTCTGAAACATCGAAGAAAAGTTGTCCCTGTTCTGGTCCTGGTATCGGCCGTATTCAATTATATTTAGGCATAGTATTCACACATGCATTAGAAACTTTCATGATTATAATTGTATAAATACTTCATAAGTCATTTTGCTCCATGGATGTTTCTACCTTTTTGTTCAAGTACGTATGCAATTCGTTCAATCATTTATATATTATTGTTTCTACAGTAACCAATACCTTCAGGATAGGGTTAGGTATACTAAGAAATCCGTTGCCCTCTTGGTAGAGAAAATTACCAAGATGAATTAGGATTTTTAAGTCACGTTCTATAAAAAGCAATTGCAGAATCCACAATCCAAGTGAAGTTGGTGAGATCAGAATATTCAGGAAAGACTTGACAGTGTCCCATATTGAGCAGAATGATCCCATCTTGAAGAGGGGATAAAAAAAGCGAGGGTGGGGAGGAAAGAGAAAGAAAGAAAATAAGGAAAGAGAGGAGATAAAGATATAGGTCATACGAGCCCAGGCTGTAGCTGAACGGAATGTGTAAAAGAAGGGAGATTTGAGGAGGCAGGCCGTTATGTGTGCAGCTTCTTCTCTTCTCACATCTTTCATCGTGCAACATCCATCCCATGCCCCACTTACTTATACCTGCATTCATCACACCATCTAGGTTTCTCTTCTCCTCTTCCTCCCTCTATTCTTAGCACTATTCTCTAATCAAAGACGAGGAGAATGATAGCCGCGTATGCATAACAGTTGGTATGGTTAGCTCATCATCCACTGAAACATTCCTTCCTGATCACCTTTGGCTTCAAGAAATACGATCTAGAAAGGTCATAGATCTCAGGATTTCATTTCTGTTTCCCAGGTAGCGTTTGAATGAAATTCATTCACTTGGGATGTTAAATAAATCCAACTAGGCCTACTTGCTTTCAGCAAGCATTAAGAGCTAAAGCGTCGTAAAGAAAAAAAAATAGTCTGCACAAATCCTAGAGTGTACTGCGGTCCTGTAGTTCCAATAATAACTCAAGCAGGACTTTTTATTATAGAAATCTACCGAAGGGTATCGGATAAGGCTTCCTGCTATTATACATAATGGAACCTCCTAATACACTACGCAGTCACACGCAATAACGTTGACCCCGCTCGCTGAAGTACAATTTAGAGAGTTCATAATGAGTAATCACCATTATACACCATATTTAATAACTTCTCAGTACACTGCCTGCAACGATTAGAAGCGATAGCAGAGAAATTGTTCCACTGAAATGTTGCAATTAGGTTTTACTCGCTACGGGCCATAGTAGACGTACAGAAGCATCAATTGGCAACATTCAACCACAAAAGAGACTCAAAAGACTTTCCAACAGGCATAGTGGGTGGGCTTGAGTATGTGAAAAGAAGAGAAAGCAGAGAGGATCCGGATGACAACTACTCCTTATATTGTTCATATCAGACACAGACTCTGATGATGAATCACGTAAAAAAAACTACGACTGGGTATTTCCTCAAATTAAAATTTTTTGCTTTTAGTTACAGTCGTCTCAAGAAAGCAAACATGACTTACAAAGACATTTAGATTTTGGATAGGTTAGAGAATTATACGTTGGACCGCATGGAACAAGAAAGTGCCTAGACATCTTAGTATTTGCACCATTCGGTCGGTCGCTCTGACGTTGTCTGTAGGCTACCAGAAGCACCAACACTTGCTACCAAACTTAATTTCTCATCGCTTATTCGAAAAATCCAATTTTTCTTAGTAGAAGCAAAGCTGTATTTTATGGCATTATGAACTTCAGAATATAGGTTTAAAAAAAAAAGGCAGTCCATTTGTGCTATGGTTGGGACGATACTTTTTGAATTCACGGCGCATTCGAGCACTACCTTACCCTGCACAACATTTTTAAAGGGACAATCGGCATCAGCTGTTTCAAATTTGACCTTTGTCCGTTCAAACCCGGCAAATCATATCCTCGCTGGCAAAGTTTCCCTTTCAAAATTGGCAAAAGTGGCTTCAATTTTTCATCCTTGTCATTTCGCTAACACCCGAATGTGTGTCTTCCCAGACATGTTAAAAACATAGATGAGAAAAAGACACATTCAATTTCAAATTTTCCTCATTGTGAAACAGGGCAACGAAGAACAAAACAGACACACAAATTACAATTTTTTACGCTTATCGTCATTCACTGTGTACACGATGTCCCAGATAGATATCACCATCAGATTTAAATCATATAGGACATTTAGACAAAGGTACTATCTTCAAGCTCGTAAAAGCTCTGGTTATTTCAGCTTAAACCTCGGTTATGCTGTGACTGCATACACGTGAAAAGACATCAGGTCCTTGGATATGCCAGGATGACGGGCGCACAAAACTCCATCTTATGAACTGTGCATGATAGAGTGCGACACATCTCATTCTTATGAATTGTGCGTCTGATTTCCTAAAATGAATATCTCATTTGGCCTCAGCTGCTACGTGGTCTTGGTTGCCCAATTCATCAAGACAAAGAACACTGAGAGTTTGGGCCCCTACCTCAAGTTCTCACTGTCAGAGTGCTTGCCAAGAGGGAACCGGACAATGCAGAAATTAGAGCGGTTTCAACCACAACAAATGATACAACCGCGGGAACTATCAATGATATTTTTTCCACGCTGGGGAATCTTCGTGTGGGATGGGGAAAGAGGGAACGGTAGTGGAGTGGGATCCGCATAGTGTATGTAGTATATAGTGGAAGAGTGGTGTAGTGGAGGTCACGTAGAAGGAAGAAGCTGTTCAGTCCCGTGCGTGCATGAGAGGAGGGCGAGAGGGAGAGTCCGTTATCATTCCTTCCCCGTGCTGCTCAAAACATATGGAGAGATTACATACAAGTGACCTCTCTCTACCTTCCCCACCATAGCTTCTCCTTCTCTCTCTTCCTGCTTTTCCCTTTCGATAGACAAAACTCTATTGAATTGATCTACACTCATACGCCATTTCATCTATTTCCTTCTCTCAATATTTCTCTTTTGGTGAAAAATCACCCCTTTTTTAAATCATGTTTTACAAAAAGTATGCTGGGCCTGGTTGAATTCCAGTTAATATGTTGTAATTTATTGCAAAAATAGTGCATTATGCAATCACATACACACACATGGAAAGAGAAAGTAATGCTATAAATATATTGTGAAATTAAAACTAGAAATATATATATTTGCAGCTCTTCAAAAGTAAATCGATCTTCAGCTACGGTAATATTTATTTGTTGAGTGGATACTAGATACTTTTAAGCTTTTCCCTTGGTCAAGGCATTCTTGTGAAAGGAAGAAGAGTGGGCGAACATATTCCATGCAATGTAATCCTAAGGGATCACGGAGTATTAATAATAATAGTCCACCAACATAATTTTATACAATGGAAAAATACTGCATCGAAGGGTTTCTAAAAAATAATAATAATAAAGAACTGGCCAAGAGCAATCAATTTTGCTGCTGAGCAGACATATTGCTCAAAAATGTACTCGAGTAAATTTACAACTTTCTACGTCGAACAGTTTTGGCACCGTGTGATAAGGTGTCTCCTAGTATGGAAATAGGAATGCCACATGAAATGAAACCCTATCACTGTTTGCCAGTAGTTATTGCAACCTGAGCATCGTTATGTCCACTTCTACAGTACATTCTGCATTGGTTGCTTCCTGACAACATAGGTGTGAACCTGGTCAAACTTTTAGATCATGCTCTAGTGGTGTTCGTGAGAACATAACCCATTGGGAAACTATTAAAGTTCGGTTTTTCGTACCTGTCAATAACGTTCAACCCCTTAAATGGGGTGTTCTTCGAAGGTGTATACAGTTGACCCGTGTTTCTTGAGTTCCCTGCTTCAGGGATTCATTTGAACAAACGGATATTTTTTACATATTGGATAGTTTTTGTCTTAAATGTTTGCTGTCCATATATTTTTTTTTAAACAGCAAAGCTAGTGCTACGTGCAGTATAACTCGAATAGAGACAACTCAGCGGAGCCGGCGATCCGAGCCGACGAATCCCCAGCTTTGTATTCAAACGGGTTAAGCTGCGGAACCTTTCTCATGCTGCCGTTAGAACAGTGTCTTCTTCGTCAGGAAAAAAATTATGGTGTGAAGAAGTCGAAAAGAATTTGGGAGCACGACAAGTTGTTGGTAGGATCATGTCCCTGACAAAACTCCCATTCAGTTATTAAGCCAATCAGGCATTCTCAGTTATCGCTCACTTTTATCGGTCGTCACGCTCATTGCACATTTGTTTTCACGCTCGAAGCTGAAATGCTTTCTTGTAGCATTTGGTGAGGTGGTTTTCGATTCTGGAACGCATTGCGGGGCAGAGGCATTTGGCCTCCTGCACTTGTTCCACTTACGAACTTAGAAGAGGATGAAGTCATGCAATCAAGGAAGACAGAGGGGGAAGCGAAGTAAGAACCGGTTTCCCGCGAGTAGACACATACATGGTTTTACTCGATAGGTACGATGGTGTACTTTATCTTTTCGTGGGATGGGGCACAGGTATGAGATATAGAAAATATTAATGGATCCCTGGTTCAGTCGACCGGAAACCGGAACGAATCGACCGAGTACTCAACCGGGTCCGTCCTCACATTTCCCCCCTCCTCATCAAACAGGATGTCGTATCTGGACAGGGAATGAAGAAACTTATCGGGAAATCTGGGACATCTGAATTTTGCAGAACATGGGTCTATATTACATTATGGTGAAGACCAGTAATATTCCCGGGAGAAGCTAAAAACCTGACGTCATGAAATAGAACAAAAAGGAATTATTCAATTAACGTAGTCATACAAAACCAAATCGGTATATCGGTAAATTATATATAACACTTTAAAATATGAAGAACAGTGGCTGACTAACTTATGCAGGAAAAGTAATTAGTAAAAAAATATGAACTCGAAGAGGTTGTGAGTGCAGGTGACAGAAGCATTTGCGGAAGTACGTAGTAGAGGAGGAAGAAGGGAAAAAAAGGACAGGAAGAGTGTGTACCCGTGTTTTTCACATATGCGAGTGCGAGTGGAGGCTGCATGCAATAATGACAGCTGGAGAATGGAAAGGAAAAATGGCCCCCGCTCTTAGCCGGGAAGAACTAACGGGGCACAGAATGGGGGAGGCAGAGAGAGACGCTGCACAGATTTCTTTCTCTTCCTTGTAAAAAAAAAAAAAGAAAGAAAAAGAAAAAAAGGAGGGGGGAACTCACGGGAAGAAAGAGAAGGAAATTGAAGATCAGTCGTTCCTTCATCGTCCTTGTCCTTGCCCTTGATCTCCTGAAGCCCTTGCCCTTGCGCCTTCCTATGGCACCCTCTACAACAGAAGTACGTAGTAAAACGTCATTTCCTCGGCGATTACAGTGGAAAATGATGTCGTAACGGGTCTTTTACATTACACCGTGTCACCTACAGAGCCTATATATAAAGAGCTCTTAAATGTTCTCATTTCTTCTTTAGCACAAGGATTCTGAGAGTGAGGGTGATGCAAAGATGAGTTTGCGAAAGAGACCTGCCCTGAATGGTTACCTCATGCTCCTGGTACCTGCATAACAGCACATAAAGGCACACAAACAAGTGCAATGGAGCTGGGGGTATGTAATCGGCGTACATGTGTAACGGGCTGCCGGTCTGACCCGATTCCTCCGTATAATCGTAAACCTAATAGAGTCATATAATCCCCCGTCGAGATGATGTACGAAATAAACCTGGGAAAAGCGCGTGCATGAAGGAATTCGCTTGTTCATCATGATTCTTCCCTTCCTGTCCAGAATGCCCTCCTGACCTAATCCTGTCCCTCCTCAGTCCCCTCGACTGATCATAATGAAGAAGAAATCTCCGCCAATATGTACCGGTGTGGCCGAACCCATGCAGAGAGTTATCTAGGCGTGTAATAGCCCCTTACACCGTAACGGGAACGGGAATCCTCCTCTTTTCATATCTTCCCCGCTCGTGTAAGACATCTCGCAGCCCCTTTGACTAGTCTTATACAGGTAGTTGATGGGTCGCCATGCTTCAATGCCTTCCATCGACCCCACTTTTCTCCAGGCTATAGGTCTAATACGTGACTCTGGATAATGTAACTCCCCGTTTCCAAGCGAACCACGATATCCCGTCACCGCGGAGGCTTCTTTTTTTTCAAAATCGCAAACAAACACACAACTGATTGATCTGAGATCCGATCAGGATGCATCTAGCCCAGATCTCTGTCCCAGATCAAGAAACAACGGATTTTTTTTCGCTCGCGTAGCACCTGACACACATATCCGTCATGGATCTATCATCCCGGAAAGTTTGCGCGTGAAGAACACTTTTCTTATGACGCACCTGAGAAGTGTCTATAGTAGCGGAGGAAGAATAAAAGATGAGAAGGGCGAATTAAAGATGTAGCACATGAGGAGCGGGAGATATTCGAGCGCGGTGTTCACTCCGTCATATCACTGACTCATGTCTGACGAGGATACGAGCGTTGAAGTCTCCCGTCCTCGACTGAGACGACTCTCTCATCTCCCCTCCGTCTCCCTCCTGAGAGAGAGCGTGCATGCGCGGCAGACGACGGTGACGTCATGGATCCCGTTAAATGACCTACATCCTCTGGGCTCTGCCCGCGTTGGTGGACCCGAGCCAGATCAGAACAAGGGAGGGGGGTATATAGGGTGGTGGTGGTGGCAGCGGTAGTGGGTATAGTTACTCTACGTATACAACGCCCTAGGGGTGTTGGCCACTCTTCATCCGGCGGGAAGAGAAACTAGGACGCATATCCAAAAATAACCTATCACAACAACACCAACAATCCTTAGTTCCGGGAGAAGAAAGAAAAGTTTTTGGAAACATTCCTTATAAGATGATGTGGGTCCCTTTCACATCCTGTTTCTTGCGAAAAACAAGACACCCGATGCTTTCTCTCTCCCCTTTACTGGCAATGCTTCGCACTGGCTCTGGTACTCAGAATATTTTTTTAAATAGGTGAGGGGAGAAGCCGATGCAGCCCACAATGTGCCTCAGCCATGAGGGACCAAGACGGTTTCTGCAAGTACCTGTAATTCTAATATCTTTATGACAAGTCCTGTATAATATCCTGTATGCATAAATGCATGTCCAGGGGCAAGGGCACAGAAATACGCGAACATAGGCGGAGAAAATAATAGAACGATGAAATCCGCAAAAAGAAATAATGAGAAAATGGGATGAGGCATGGGAGAGCAGGATGAAGAGAACTTTCACTGAGGAGGAAATTTGGCGAATCGGCCCACTTTGCCATCGATCTGGAACTCATTATTGGCCTCGTTATTCACGGATTATCCCTTATAACCCGTCAGACGTACTTTCTCCTCAACTTTTTCGCTTGTCAGACGTCCTGCCGATCTGTATGACAGATTGTTCTGAAACTAAAACGGGTTATGGACGTCATTCTTGAGCCAACGTCACAGGTGACAGTATGAAGACGGGCGTAGGCGTATAGAGATAAATGTGGAAAAAAAAAGAGAGAATGGGAGGAGTAGGCCTATAGTTGGGACTCGGATCACGTGAATGGAAACAGGTTTGGATTGAGAAGTCTCGCGGGAACATGACAGCTCGCACTGATCCACTCCTCGTCTCCATCATCTATCGTCTTAGAGACTCTCAATGCACGTAAGGAAAAGAAAATTTTTTTTTTCATTGTTATCACCTGTCCGGTGCATTGCCCGGCCGGCACTTCCCATTCAATTGGCTGGAGGGGTATAAAATAACGTGTCTCGAGAATGGGGGATGAAAGTAGGTCAGCGTGCCCATGGTTGCCGGAACACTCCCTCCAATCCATTTACATAGTCTATAGAACCTTGGCAATTATTTTAATCAGAGGGAAATTTCATGGAAACCAGGGAGAATCGAAAACGCTGGGCCTGCGGGCATTGGCCACTGGAAATTACGGAAACCGGAGGTAGTTACTGTCATTTAGCTCGGGAATCAAATGACCTCCAGTTGATTCATTTGCAAAGGATATTATAACAATCCTCGATTTCGAATCCCCATGTATTCTTGTTCTATTTTCACATTGTTTTTTTTTCGGGTGAAAAATTAGAATTTTTAAATTTTATATGCTCAAATTTCTCGGCATTTCTACATTTTACTGCTGGATGAATTTCTACACGCCAAAGCCGTGTGCTGAGCTGTAAGGAAGCCAGTCCAGAAGTCAGCATCGCTGCTATAAAAAGAAAATGCGGAGGGATACGTTGGGAACGTAGGCATGGAATGAGGGAGGAAACGCTCAGCGGAGAAGAGGGGCGGCGAGCGATATGTAGGTTATATCCGGCTTTCCCTTTTCTGTTCCACGTCCCATAGAGGCATGCAGGGTCTTGAAATTCACCAGGGTGTGCATCCCGTTTCCAAAGAAGGGGGTGAAAGTCCAATTCACCACCCATGATAGATTTTTTCTTTCCCCCTCTTTCATGCGATGGCAAGATCCGGCTTGTCCCCTCCCCTCCCCTCTCCTCTTTTTGTGTCACACTTCCAATACCCGGACGGAATGGTTTATTCCTAACAATCCTGTTACGCAATCTCAGACCACTTCCTCTTCTTCTCTTCAGACCGTTATTTCAGCACGTCTCACCTAATATTCGATTCTTTTAATGCAGGCCATCCGCGCATGAAAGGCGGGGCACGTGGTGTACAAAATTGATTAGAGAAAATATTGCTAATGATTAATTGAACCCCTCAAGCAGGTAGATTTTTGCTGCTATTTCAATGGAACTTCATTTCTAGCACGTCGCGATGAGAGAATTCATGAAAGGATCGTCATGCGAGCTGTGATCATGAGAATGGAACAGGGAGAAATACTGGAATTCCATGGATTGCTGGGGCGACTCACTGGCTTCCTTCCTCCTTTTTCCTACATCACGAACCTCTCAGAATCTCCGCTCTGTGAGGAAGGAAAGCTTGACCAAGACCTCACTCGATTCTGTGAGCTTGTTTCCCCCTTGTCACGGACACACATAAACTTATGCAGAACCGGCTTGAAGGGATAATGATATATTCTGGATCATTGTATTTTTCGAGGAAGACGAACCGTCGAAACTGGGGATGCACACAGCCACAAAGAACGTGGCAATGTGGATTCCACAAAGAAGCGATTGTTCATCTATGAACAATCGCTTCTTTACGTCAGAAGGCTCCGTCAATCTCTCACATCGATTCAACGCTTGGATGTGCCTAAAATATTTCGGAAGCAGAAGGGAAAATGTCCACCTAATTTTACGAAGTGATGAAATTTTTCATGGCATGAATTTATTCCGTTCGCCTTTTAATTTGACATAAAAGCCAGGGGTCCTTTAGGAGTAATTGAGTCCTATTTATGGACTGTCAGAATGGAATTCATGCCGTTGGGAAAGAAAAAGCAATGGCCCCAGGGGATGTGAAATGAACGTTGAGGTCAGAATCATAAAACTTCATCGATGGACTGAATGAAGACGGCAGGTGTGGAGGGCAATTGATAAAAGAGAGAGAGATTTTGGCATGGTTCCTGTGTGTGTCCGTGGGAGCCCTGACCCGGATCTAGTGAAAAAAGAAACACTTAGAGTATAGATCGGACTGCTGAGCCCCTAGGCTCTCTTCCTTTTCTGACCCCCTTTATACCTATCTACCATCCGTGGACGTAGGAGATCTAGTTGCATACAAAACCGATTCACTCTTGCACCCACCCACTCACTCGTTCACCCACTTAGGAGACAGCTCTCTGGAGACACACATTTTTTGGTTTAAATACGGATGATGGCGTAGAAGGAATTTCATTTTTTTAATTAGATGATGGCGTAATAATAATAACAAATCGGGTCTCGAGATCTGGACAGGCGAATGATTGATCTCGACACCAGGGTTCTTCTTCCTGTTTTCTGCCCTATATATCTTCTCTCTCTCACCTGTCGGCACGTTCAGAATTCTTCTTCATCGCCAGGTTGCTCTGGCTAATATTTGCCCAGGCAACCTGACCTCAATCCCCAGGTTTTAGGTTACCGATGGATGACGAAGCAACACCTTAACGCGGAATTCAAGACGCACGATTTCCCCAGAATAGCAGGAACACCAGGAACCGAAAAGGTTAAGTTTACTTTTTTCGTTTGAACCGATTTTATCAGAATGAAGGAAGGATGGAAGTCGTCTTTGAGTAACGGACTGCGACCTTGTCCCCTGAAACGAAAGGCCGTTCCTTCACCCCACACCCCTTTTTCGCGCCGTTCTTATTTTCGCGCTTCGTTATTCTTCATTCGCGATGAGATGATTCGCCAGAGAAGAGGTGCAAGCTCGATTCCCCCTTCATCTTCTGAAGGACTCATGCTTGATTTGGTGCCTGAGGATTCCGTTCCGAAGAGTCGCAAAATCAAAAGCTAGTCCAATCCAGAGCCGAGGTGAAATGCACGCCGGTGAGAGAGAAGCTGAGTCATGGAGACGTCTCATTATCCCCCAGGGAAGAGGCAATTAATATGAATCGCTCTAATTGCGGTTCAAGGGAAGAAGACGCGCATGATAGGGGGCATTATAGGCCGATGGAAATGTGAATCGCCGATCCCACGCACACAATCGCATACCCAGCCACTAGCACCGTGACAGAATCACCTCCGTTAGGTGAACTGGATCATACAAATCGGGTCCAACTTCGATTATCATAATCATCTTGGACGATTGATTAGCGTACGGCCTTCCCTGGCTCGTCCAGATGGGGGCTTTTCTAATAAAAAATAGAAACACAAAAAAAGAAAGAAGGAGATCGTAATTAGAAAGAAGAGGAAGACGTGGGAAAATGGATGGAGCGATCTCGCATGCGGATCACACTTCGCCCTCAGCCACATCATCGTAATTATGAATGCATGAACACGCTCTCTGTTCTATTCCCACCTCATTCTCAAATTGGAGTCTCCGTAGTGACATGGATATTAAAGTCCGAAAAAGTTGGAATCGGATGGGGCACCTTTCATGACTAATGACCAGTCTTATATTTTTTTAAATTATTATAAAGGCTTATTATTTTTCTCACTCTCACCTTTGCAAGCGAAGG